TCTAGACATAGCCTAAGTGTGTGTCTAGTCTACAGGGTTTTGTCAACAAAAGTGGACTTTTGTCGACAAAACTATACCTGCGTCTACACTGCCACTGAGTTCTGTCGAAATAACATCGACAGAGCTCAGCAGTTTTGTCAACAGCTGTAAACCTCGTTCTACGAGGAATAACGCCTTTGTTGACAGAGTTCTGTTGACAAAAGCTAAGTGTGGATGCAGGGGAGAAGTTGTGTCGACAGTAAAGGTCTCCAGGAAGAACTCCTGGTGGACACTTCTGCCACTGCTTTCCACTCTCTCGTTCCTGCCTGTAGTCATCTTTAAAAGGCACAGGCACCCAAGATCAGCACTGTGGCAGCAAGCCAGCTCCTGAGCAGACCCTGACTGTGCTGCTCCATTTTTGGTGAGCCTAGTAGGAGCCATGTCGCAGGGATAATCCCCCCAAGACCCCCCTGGCCCTTCCAGGGACACATCACCCCAGGAAGCCAGGGGAACAAAACAGCAGGCACCCTCCTGATCTGGGCCAGAGATAAAAGCCCTCTTGGGGCTCTGGACTGAGGAGGAGTCCCTCCAGGCCATGAAATCTAGCAGGAGGAGGAATGCAGACATTTATGCCCGACTGGCAGAAGGCCTGGCTACAAAAGTTCACCACCCCCGCACACTGGAGCTGGTCAGGGCAAAGGTGAAGGAGCTGCGGCAGGAGTATGTTAGAGCCTGTGAGCGGAACTCCCGCTCTGGGGAAGCATCGCACCACTGTGCGTATTATGAAGAGATTGACCAGATCCTGGGGGCAGGGGAACCCCTGCCTCCCAAGTGGCTAGTGGAGTCTGGGCTGGAGACCCCTGGTCAGCAGCGGCCACAACAACAGCCAGGTGACCAGGAGCTCCAGGAGGAGGAAAAGGAGGAGGAAGACAGCACCCAGGAGCCAGGCGCTGACGCTCAGGGGGCCTCGCAGACCACCTCGGACACCAGGGAGGAAACGTCAGGTGAGTGCTGTGAGGGTCCCCCACCACACAGGGCAGGGCAGGTGAGAGCAAAGGGGATGGTGCAGTGCTGTGACATGTCATGCTGATCACAGCCGGGGGGAAGGGGAACACACCCATGGCCGCCCTCAGGGAGGGCCGCCCTACCCCTGCACCTGCACAGCTTCTAGGCACCACGTGCTCCTGCAGGCAGTGATGCCAGGTGCAGGCATGGGTCGGGGACGCAAGGATTCCCTCACAGCTGCAGGCCTCTCAGCACTCTGCGGGAACCCCAACCATGGCCTGACACTTGTCTGTGCTGCTCGGCCATGGGTGTGTGGGGGGGAGGATGGTGGCCTGCACACCTTCTGGACTCTAGGGAGGCCATGGTTGTGGGCCTGGCCACACCGTGCCTTACTGAGATGCACATGAGCAGCCTCTGACCCTAGGACAGGCACTGCCTGCTGACAAGAAGGAGGGCATGTAATCTCATGGAAAGTGTGAGCATGCATGACCGACGACTTTTCCCTCTTGTCCTCCACAGCCAGACCAGCTGACCAGGAGTAAGGCGCCACACCTGCCCCACCACCCAGATGGACACAGGGAACCCATCGGCACTGGCACACCTATTTAGACCTGGTGCGCCAGCACATCGCAGTCCTGCAATGGATGCAGGACTTAATGGACAGGAGGCTGGAGGCAGAGGCTGAGTGGCGCTGGCACTTGCTGGATAAATTTGCCATGGCCTTCCCCGGTCCTGTGCCTGGTCCTGCTCCTGCTCCTGCACCTCAGTCTGCCCCCCCCAGTCCGACATACCCACTGATATTTTCACTGCTATCTGGGAGGCCATGGCCTTCCCCAGGCCTGGTCCTGGTCCTGCTCCTCCTGCACATCTTGTTCCCCCTTACCCGCTACTCCCCCCTCAGTCCCTGCCCCTCCCCTCAGCCCCTGCTTCCTCCTCACCCCCTGACATCCCAGACCCAGGTACAGCCCCACCTCCTACCCAGCCCCCTGCTGTCACAACCTGCACACACAGCCGGGTGCGAGAAGGCCTCCACAGCCAAACTGCCAGGGGCTCTTCCTCCAGGCAGCCCCTTCAGCCCTGAGCCTCCCTCCCCCGTTCCTGGTTGGCATTCCCCCCTCCCACCAGTGAGAGTAACTGAGGGAAGCAGTTTATTTTGTTAGCAAACAGTTTATTTTCTCTGAAAAAAAGAGTTATTTATTTTATTTTGTCCAAAAAGCAACAGTGCAATAAACAGTTGAAATGTTTCCACCCACACCTGTCTCTGTTCTCAGAGTGTGAGGAAGGAGTAGATTGTGTGACTGTGGGGCCGGGAGGGGTTTTGGGAAGGAAGGCACCAGGGGCATGGGGCAATCCCACATTTGGAAGACTCTGTGGGCGAATTGCTCCCTCAGGGCTTCTTGGATTTGCAGTCCCAACTGGTGGGCTTGCCGGATGGCAGCTGTCCGGGGCTGTTCAACGTGCTTCCCCTCCACATCAGCCCATGCCCCCCACGCAGGGAGGAAGGCCTCCCCTTTCCTCTCTACCAGCTTGTGCAGCACACAGCACACTGCAACCACATCAGGGATGTTCCCCCATGTCCAGCCGAGTGAGCAGGCATCTAAATCTGCTCTTCAGACGGCCAAAGGCGCTTTCCACCTGGTAGCAAGCCTGAATGTCCCGTGAATGGCTTCATGAGCCAGGGCATAAGGGGGTAGGCTGCGTCAGCCACAATGTATATTGGCATCTGCACATCCCCCACTGCCAAGTTTCTGTCCTGGAAAAAGGACCCAGTATGCAGCCTGCAGTACAAGTGCGAGTTCCGGAATACGTGGGCATCATGTGCCCAGCCTGACCACCCAACACAAATGTCTGAACTGTCCCTGGTGGTTAACCAGGGCCTGCAGCTCCATGGAAAAGTAGCCCTTTTGGTTAATGTGCTGTGCTGCTTGGTGGGGCAGTGTGCGGATGGGGCTGTGTGTCCCGTCGAGTGCTCCACCGCAGTTGAGAAATCCTAGTGCTGCAAATCCATCCACAATGGCATCCAGGTTTCCCAGGTAGACGGTCCTGTGAAGCAGCTCCGAGTTGATGGCCATCACCACCTGCAGAAAGGGACAAATAGAAACACGCAGAACAGGACATTAGAGGACTTGGATCAGCTGATGAGAGGTCTCCTCCTCCCCCCCCGGACCTCAAGAGCCCCCCTCAGGCAACCCCTCCATGTCCCCTGTATCCCACAGGGTAAGGCCAGGCAGGTTTCCACCACTCCCACCCCATCCCCCATTCCCTGTGCCTAGTCCTGACTGTCCCCCTTCTCCGCCCGCCCCCGTCCCCCTGGGCTGTCCCCCGAGGATGTCTTAACCTCCATCAAGATGGCCCCGACAGTAGACTTCCCCACGCCAAACTGATGCCCCATGGAGTGGTAACTGTCGGGTGTGGCCAGCTTCCACAGGGCAATTGCGACCCGCTTCTGCAGGGGGGTGGCGGGCTGCAGGTGGGTGTCCTGGGGTTCCAGAGCAGGAGCGAGCCAGGCACACACCTCCAGGAATATGGCCTTTCGCATCCGGAAGTTGCGGAGCCAGTGTTCGTCGTCCCAGAGCTCCATGACGAACTGGTCCCACCAGTCGGAACTCATCTCATGCCTTCAAATCTGCCTGTCCCAAAAAAGTTTGGGGGAAAGGTTGGGTTCAGGATCCAGCTCTGCCGCAAAGGTCATGATGCTCTCCTGAGCACGCAGCAGAACTTCCAGCAGCACAGTGTGGGGCCAGCACCTGCCCAGGGGCAGCTCAGGCTCCATGCCCAAAAAAGCCAAAAAAACAAACAAAAGAACAACCAAACAACCAAACAAGGCAACAAACAAACAAACACACAAGCCAGAAACCAAACCAGAAAATAAACTGCTGTGGTGTCCGAGGAAGCAGGGCAACCAGAGCAAAACTGCAGCAGCTTTGCTGGCAGGCAAGCCAGAAGCAGGAGCAGAGCAACAGCTGTCCAGGAGGATCCCTTTAAGCACGCGTCTCTGCAGAGAGCATGCAGCGGTGCCTGGGCTTTAAGGCTGCCCCTGTGACCTGCCAGAAGCACTTCCGGGTGCTTTCTTTTGTTGACAGAGTGTCCGGCAGTCTGGATGCTCTTTGTCGACAAAGCAGATCGCTTAGTCGATCCACTTAATGTAGTCTAGACGTTCTTTGTAGACAGAAGCTTTGTCGTCAATATCTGTCAACAAAACTTCTGTCGACAAAACCCTGTAGTCTAGACATACCCTAAGATGCCACAGGACTGCTCATTGCTTCTGATGTTTTGTAAACCTAGCTCCTCTAAGCCATTCAATTGTGTTCCTACACAATAAGGATTCAGGAGAGCATAGGATTTTGTGGAGGGGTAGCACAAAGTCTTCATAAAATTTCATCCTTTTTATTTGAGTTTCTTTCCCCCCCAGAACATTTCTGACCCATACAGAGTGCTATACTAGTTCTTCAGCTGGACTCTTTTCAACCTTCATTTCTTGCTCATGATAAGATCCCTGCGCCTACTACACATGGCACCAGGGATACAGATAAAACTTCTCAGCCAGACTTGAGCATATGGAACTTCTGGTGTAGAGAACCAAAAGACCAAGTTTGTATCAACATTTCTATTTGCCGCTTGGTGGCATGCTGTGCAGCAAATAGGTCAATGAGCCATGACTGTAAAACACTTCTGAATCTAGAATTTTGAGTTTAGAATCCATTATCATTCTCAGTGAATATAGTCTAAGGACAAATTTGGTACAGGCATGCTTGTATAAATCCACCAGTAGAATTTAGATATTATGTAATGTAGTAAAAAATTGGTGATTGCTATTGTTAGAATTAGGTGCTTATGTCTACAATCTTGGTGGTGTTCTGCTATTGAAGTTATTTATTATTAATTATTGTGGGTATATTGTACAGTAGTACCACAACAATTCTAATGCAACACATGTGGAAAATATTTTGTACTATTTGAATGTTATGTAAGATGTAGTCAGCTGTTACCCTTTTCTTTCTTTTATTTCATTCTAGAACTTTGATTCTGAATGAGATGATACCCATGTGTTAGACACCTGAGTATCAAGTAACATGTTCCAGATACCCAATGGTATGTGAATGGCATATACTAATAATTGGAGAAGACTGGAAGTCCACAAAAAGGTAAATTAGAATACTTCTAACTAGTGTTTAAACTGAACTATTTATGGGCCAACCTGTGTTGCAGGAGATAAAATGCTCATTGTCAGGGGGTACGCCCCCGTCAAGGGGCTCGGCCCCCTCCTACCGGGCCTGTACAGCCCCCAAAGTCCCAACGCAAAAGTCCCGGCCCTTCTATCAGGGCATATACAGTACTACAGTCTCAATACAAAAGTCCCAGCCCTTCTATCAGGGCCTATATGGTACTACAGTCTCAATGCAAAAGTCCAGGCCCTTCTATCAGGGCCAATACGGTAGGAGAGGCCTAGCCGCTCTGAGAAGCCTCTCCTGGCCCGGGGTTCGCTTGTCCAGGGAAAGGAAAAATGGGTGGTAGAGGGACCCGGGCCCTCCCTCTCCACCGGGTCCCAGCCCAGGGCCCTTTAGGCAGGGTCTATGGCTCCTGCCGGCTTGGCGGGGGATCCGGCCGATACACGCCGAGCCAAATCTTGTTTCCCTTGCCCTGGGCTGCTTCCTACCATGCCCTGGTTCCCCCCGGGCCCCTTCGCCTCTCAGGCGGTACCTGTCGGGGTTGTGGGCGCGCTCCTGCCGCCCGGGGTCGGCCGCTGCGTCCTCCGTGGGTGCGGGCGGCGATTCTGGACCCAGCGGCTGCAAGAATACTGGTCCGGCCTCGGCTCCTCCTTCGCCCAGGGGCCTCCTTGACTGCCGGGCTCCTTCGGCCTTTATACCCAGCCGCTGTTGGGAGCATGCCCAGCAGGGTCGGAGGGGCGGGGCCTTCTCTGCCAGCTGGGCCTGGGCTATCCCCTGCTCTTCAGTGCGGGGCCTGTCCGCCCCGTCACACTCATATATGACTGTGATGAGATACAGTCACAGAAAACCCCTTAGGCTGATTCCCAGTCTGCTGATAAAGCCACTAACACTCACCTTCTTTCTCTTTGGGGCTCCTTACCACCCTGTTTTACTGGGGCAGATCTTCTGGTCTCCCCCAGGCAAGGCCCAGAGCTGAGATAACCACCCCCCTTCTCCCTAAGAGCAATGCAGACGCTGAATCACTTCAGCCCTGGGAGAAATGCAGTTCAAGGGCACAGTGTCCAGGAAACCAACCTCGAGATGGTATCAAAACCCCAAATAGATCTCTTTGTCACTGTGTGAGAGTTTCACACATTGAAAGCTCATTCAGGTAAGTGTCCTATAATGAAAGAAATACAGGCACACTGATTCGAACAATTATTTACACTGGGTTTGATCGCAAATAAGAAGTATTTTTATTAAGTACAAACAGTAGGATTTCAGTGGTTGCAAGTGAAAAAAGGCAGATCAAAGTAAGTTACAGAATTAAAATAAAATGCATGCCTAGTATTAATACACTAAAGCTTATTGCAAACTTAGCCCAACACTGTTCTCATTTCAAGCAAACGTTCAAGCCAGAGAAGATCTTTTACTCTCCCTGGGATCCCTGGCTATCCTTTTGGATGTGTCATATCAGCCAAAGATAAATAGCCTGCTAGCTTCCCAGCTTACATAGACTTTTTTCTTGGGTGGAATTCCCCCACACCATGGAAAATTATATGGTTGACTTGGTCACATGTCTTTCCATGACCAACCACTACTGAAACTTAAGACAAAACAAGGCTGTTTATAGGCCATTAAGTTGATCGTTAAGATTGCCAGAGCATTGGAAATATTCTCAATAGCTTTCTAAAACTATAAATCATTCCGTACTCCATATTTCTAATTTTACATACAAGAATGATACATACACCAAAATAAGATACACTGATCCAGCAAACTGTGACATTATAATTGATATTTGAATGTATAATACAAGAGGTATTTTGTCCAAAGCAACTTCAAGTTATACATATTTGTATACCTAAGACAATTTCGTACATCATGAGTACAAGGTATTCTTGTTGGGAAAGGTGAACATCTGGTGCACTGCAAAGCAAAAGTTTTCTTTTCAGATTAACTGTGCCAGACAATGATAATTGCTAGGGGAGAAGAGGTACACCAGAGATTGGAAAGGTCTCCTTTTTCCCTGCATTTCCCTGTGCTTCATCTTCTCCTTTCAGAACAAACAGTACTGTTGAACTCAGATGCTCTCAGAGGTCCAGAGAGGCTCAGGACACTTCCAGATTTTGAGGCCCCTAGCCATAATAATAATTAAAAAATGACAACACATGAAAACAAAATAAGGCACCAAAAAAGAGACATAATTTGGGTATTTTTATTTAACAAATGATTTTCTAGTTCATAAAAAACAAGTTGCCAAACTTATTTAATGCCAAAAAATTAACAAGTATCTAAATTTGAGCTTCTTTTGATGTTGAGACCGGAAATCTCACCTCCTTCCCCTCCATTGGCTCTGGCTGAACTGAGGATAGTACCACTTTCATTTACCTAAACCTGAGGGGTGAAATTCACCCCTTTATTTGCTCTTTTGGTTTCTTTACTCTAGAGATTAATTTGAATCAGTGAGTCATAGAATAATAAATTATGTATTAGCTGTGCAAGGAATAAAGCATTATTTTAAATTATCGAATGAATATTAACAGTCAGCTAACTCATGCAAATTGTGGGAATTCATATGTTTGGCTCAGCAAAAACCTCCAACATGTTTCCTTACTTAATTAGACAGAAAAAGGGCAAAAAGCTAGCTCTCTTTTACTTGAGCATAGTACACCAAATTGTTAAAGAACACTATCAACTTAGAAATTACATTTCTATCTGAAAACTCTGTAGTTTTTTATAGCTTCAGGGAGTAGCCGAATTAGTCTCTCTCTACAGAAAAAACAACAAATGGTCTGGTAGCACTTTAGAACTGGTAGAACTGATTTGTGACAAGACAGCCACTTGAAGCTCTTTTAAACCAGTGGTCCGCAACCTTTTTGTGGCCAATAGCACATTCATGTTTTCAGAAGAGTGTGGCGGGTGCCAACAATTTTTCAAGGCTTATTTTGTATTTGTACATTAAATAATACGAAAAACATCATATTTAATATATGAATCTATAAGATAAAAAAGGTAATTTTACATGTAAAAGGTATTAATTAAATTATTCGGCAATTACTCTTTCACCTTACCATGTGAATTTGCTATTTTCATATTAAATGTCAATTGGGTAAATTTGATAGAAACTTAATTTAGTTGGATAATTTTATGTTAATTATGTTGTAATTCATTTTTAAACGAAATTCTGCATAAATAAAAAGCGGGGGGATGTCCAAATGTTGTTGAGCAAAAAAAGCACCCTCCCCCCCAAAAAAATCATGGGACCTTTAAATCTCACACTCCCCATCCCCACCATGTCTCCTCCCCTTGCTCCATCAGCTCCCCTGGTGCCTGCTGCCCCCCAACTTCTCACCCTCCTCTGCTGTCCTGGCTCCTGCCCTTCTCACTGCCCTCAGCCCTCCTGAGACCTGCCCCCCTCCACCAGCCTTCTCTCCCCCCTGTGCCCACTCCTTCAGTAGCCTCACTCTCATCATGTGAGCTACCCCTCCTCATCCCCTCTCCTAACACCTCCCTCTACACACCTGCCC